CTACCTTACAGGTTATTGTGAGTCTGAAGAGGACTCAAGTGAAATAATGCGTATGCAAACCATTTATAAATGTAAAGATTTATATTCATGTGAGTTGTCTTTATTTATTTGTGGCTTCCCACTTTCTCACACTCTTTGGAGTCACTGAGAGAGGCTAATTAAAAGTAATTGGAATTAAATTAATTAACATTAAAATTCAGAAGCCTGTCTAGAGGGAAGAATCTTGATGGGATGGGTTAGAGGATTACGTTGGGAGCCTGAGGGACCTTGAGGAGGGAGGTGCAGGACTGTGAGAGGGTGGCTGTCAGGAGCACAGCTTTGCAGAGTGAGACTGTAAGTCCTGCTCTTGATGTGTGGTGCAATACCATTTTGTTGCCATAAGAAATCTTCAGTAAAGACTTCTCTTACTTTTCCATGTTCTTAGAATGAGGTTTGTAGTCACCCCCTGTCACCCATGCATTAATCTCATGCTAAGATTGGCCTTAAGGCAAGAACAGGAGAGCAGAAGATGACTTAAGTGTACTAGGGTTCTAGATTGACACCTCCTCCCTCAATGAGGATTGAATGGGAACATACACATAGACTGTCTTGCATATAGTAGATGTTCAGTACACGGCAATTATTATTATCGTAAACCAGGAGATATTTTGCTACAACATAAGTGATTTGATAATGGGGGCTTGGTTTTTTCATGTATCTCCTAGGACAGGGCTGGACACTGAACTAGACTGGGTGAAGGGCAGTCCAACCATACCTTGTGCTGTTAAGGGGCACATATGAGATCATGGCCACTTAATTTGGAGGTTTGCATTCGAAGACAATAAGAACCCCAAGTCAAAGGTGAATAGTTAAGCAATTTATCAAGCAAGAGCAAAGAGAAAGCAAGAATCAAGAGCATACATCACCAGACAGGAAATCACCAACACCCGAACACAGACACTGGGGAATACTGGAGACAGCCACACTTGGTGTTCCTCTGGAAAAAGTTTGAGCAAAGTGCCTTTCCCTAGGGTGGGATTCCCAAGTCTCATTTTGGGGGCTCTGCTTAAATATGTTTTAGACTAAAGTGGCTATATGCCAAGGGCCTTTCAAGACTCGACTGACCAACCGTTCCCTCTGGGAGAATACCCAGTTCTTCCCCAAGGGCACAGTCAGTGTTTACAGGTACTGAGTTAAAAATCAGTGGTGCTTAGTCTTCCGTGGAGAAGGACTAGTTCTCCCCAGGAGACAGAGCATCTGTATTTCATTCTTACAATTAAAGGTCATAGCTTGGGCACAACACAGAGAGGATTCTTAATATTTCTTTAACCCATCACACCTGTGCCCACATAATAGGTCCATTTCTCTCCTATCCTTATCACACCATGCTGATACCTTACTCTGAGGTCTTGAAACCACCAGGCCACTGCTTGCTCTACTAGGCGCTATGTTGCTGCCATTTCCCTTATCTGTGAGTGTGGTCCTCCCATGAGGCCTGTGTCCAGTGTTAAACCTCTGCCTTCTAGTATCCTTTCCCGTTCCCACTCCATTCTTCACAGGCCCCTCTGTGCAGGGGCAGCAGGAGCAGTCCTGGGTGCTTAAATTAGATAAGCTGTTACTCTGTTCTTATATTCTGACTTAGGTTCTGTAGACTTAGCTGTCTCTAGGTACCTATTCTTGAAGCTGGCAGCACTGAGACTCAAGGCAGGGGGTGAACACAGACCACAGAGCAGTTCCTGTAACCTGAAGCACACCCTCATGTTGGGTCATAGGTGCTGAGAGTGTGCAGAGGAGAACAGGAAAGGCTATCTAAGGGCTGGGATGAGCATTTATAGTGGAGTGAGGAAGAAGAGTTTGAGAGGACACTTTCACTACCTGCACCTCCCTTTTTCCCCATAAGACTTTAATAACACCTCATCCATTATGAGAGTGCTATGAAAATATTGTTTGCCAGTAGTTTGTTGTAAATTTACATTATAAAGTAAGGCAATATTTGTATAAGCCAGTAAATTGCCTAAAATGATGACAGAAAAATGCAGTACCTAAAATATTATTCATGGGCAAAAACTGAGGTAATGTGGGCTAAGGAAAAATAGGTATCTGTACTTCCTAATGACAAAAAACTTGTCAAGGCAGGGGCCCCAGGGACAAGGGATGTGGAAGCCGCAAAAATAGGCTGGGAAGGACAGGACTGTCCCCCAGCTAATGGTTCAGGTTCCTGCCTTTCACTTATAGATCAAACAGCCCCAACTAACAGGAAGGCAACCTTGACAGAGCAGCATGGAATAGCTCTGCAGTTGCTCCCATCCTGGAAGCTTTCCAGGGGCACCCCTACTTGCCTGCTCTTCTGCCTCAGAGCTCCAGGAACTTCTTGAGCTTATTACGTCCTCCATGATCACCTCAATTCTGCAAATGAAGAATCCAGAGTGAGACATTTCTCTTGCTTTCCCCATAATTTTGTTGGAGTTCTGGTAAGGCCAACTCTGGAGTGGGGACTCAACAACATTCTAAAAAAACTTTTCTGTTTCTTATTCTTGGTTCCTAAGAAGTGTTGCCACAAAAGTGATACCTGAAAAGGAAATGATTAAGACTTTCAATAATGGGGAAAAGGGTTCAAATTCTAGGCCTTCCATTTCCGAGGTGACTTCAGTTTCTTCAACTGTACAATAGGGCTGAGGCCACCACCTACTTCATGACGAGGAGAGACAATATACAATAATTAGCAGAGTGCATTAGATTTCCCAAATGGTAGGTATTATTTGGATACCCCCTTTTCACTTCCTCTGTCATTGCCAAAGCCCCAGTGATATCTCCATTGATGGCAGTTTCCAAGGTGGGCTCTGCCCTCCGTGCTTGCAGTCTCTGCTCCTGCCATTTACTTCTCAGTATGCTGCCGGAGAAACTGGTGTAAAACACCAAGATGCATGTTATGCCCCTGCACAAAATATTTTAATAGCTTCCTATTTTCTCAGAATAAAGTCTAAAATCTCCCAGAAAGTCTTCTGAGTTTGTTTACTTCCCTCCAGTCACACATATTTTACTGTTATGAGCACCTTCTGTGTGCCAGATACTAAGCTAAGTGCTTCGCAGAGATGATTTCACACAGCCCTGGAAACAGCACTGCCATTAATATCTCCATGTCACAGAAGAGGAAAGAGAGGCTCAGAGAGGCTCAGAGAGGCTGAGAGACTCGCAGCAACACACAGCTAGTTGGTCACTGAGATTTGAATTCACTCTGCATGGTATCCTCTCCATCTGCTCTTTGTACAGAGCAGTAAAGCTTCCCCTGCAGCTGGGAAGGGCTAGTAGAGAAAAACGTAGGGGTCAGGATCTGGGGATGGATGAAGCAGTGTTTGGAATAAGGGTGTTGAAGATGAAATGAGGAGGCTAACTCCCCTTTCCCAGATTGAGAGGGCCACCTCAATTTGGAGAGTTCTGGGCCTGGGCTTCCAGCACCCGCAGCGTGTGTACCCCACCTCATAAGCCCAGAAGATCTACACCACCTTCTACTTTCCTGTCTCTCTTGCCACACCCACTTCCCTCCAAGCTCAGAGCCAGTTGCCAAGAGGGCGCTCTAGAAGCATTCGGGAGACGATTATTGCCTCAGGTGGCCACATACTTTCTATACAAGCGGTGGCTTAAGCAGCTTTCGTCCCCCCTGTAGGGCGGTTTTCTGTCTTAGCGAAGCGGCCTGGGCCCACCAAGGATGGCCATTATGAGACCCGTGGCGCTTGCTCAACGTGCAGTTTCCTTTCGCCTTCCTCAAGCAGCCGCAGGGAAGGGAACGGACGCACTCCCTTCCTTGCAGACCGCCCTACCTGAGGCTGCTGGCCCACCAGCCTGCAGTCCCCTTGGGGAGGAAGTCTCACTTTGCTCAGGGATTTGTCCACACGCTTTGTTTTCTGTATCTGCGGCGTTTGAGAGCACAGAGTACATGCGACGCCCGATGTTGGGAGGTTCTTGACTAATCCCTGCCAAACAGATTTTGTTGCTTCATATTCTACACAAGAAGAATTCTAGGCTTAGGGAATGTAAGTGACTTGCTCACTCACGTAGTCAGACGGTAGCTCTGCCAGGATTACAATTCTCCTTCCTTAGGAGGAAAAAGGGTGAGTGCTGGATTCAACCCTGGGGACCTGGAGATAGAGCTAGCATTTGGGGGTCCTTGCCCCTCAGCGTCGTCACTACCCCTTGTTCAGGTCTGCCCTCCTCCGTGGAAGGAGGGTCCCAGCACCACTCGGCATCTTAAGCAGGCACCCCTAATCCCGGAGCCTGCTCACTAGCGACCTCCTCAGGGCCAGACCGTTTTGGGGCTTCGTGCGGCTGGGGACCCACTCAGTCTTCCTGACTATTTGCATAACGGAGACTGCTTGCTTCCCCGCCCCTCCACCACGTTCTCCTCCCCTTCTTCCCCAGTCCCTTCCACCCTTCATCCCCGGTCTCCCGCCCCTCCCCAGCAGATCCTACCCCCTTCGGGAACTCCAGCGTGGGGCTGTCAGCCCTGGGGCTCTCCTGCCCCCCTCCTTGGACAAAGTCCTGAGGCACCTGGGGGAGGGGAGCCCTGAGCTGGCCTGGCCGAGGAAGACGTCTGGGGCTCTGCCCAGCCCTAACAAAGGGAGCCAGCTGCCGGCCGGCTGGGGTGTTGAGCTGGCGGAGAAGCCGCAGCCTCCACGAGGCCTCCACGAGGCCAGCGCACAGCAAGTGAGTAGGGGTGACGTGGGCCTTAGCGCAGCCTGGGGGGCCGCCCCCCCCTTGGAGAAGTGATGCGGAAGGAGTGACGCGTAGGGGCGTAGGAGGGGAAGGGATCTGCGGTCCCCAGGCGCGTCTAGGGCACACAGAATTGGTGTTCAGTGCCGCCTTAGCCACCTTCACTGCGGGCTGGCCCCCTTTTGGCTGGCAGTATCAGTGTTTTTGTACCGGTCCAGGGGCCTCCCTCGTTTCTCCCCAGCTCCACCATCCTGCGGACCCACAACAAACCCACGTGCGCTTTGCCACCGGGACCCCTGCTTTCTCCACAGCACCGTCAGGAAAGAAGGGTGAAATGCCTAGCAGCGTCCAGGTTCCTTCAGATCCCGCATGCTGGGTTCACAGACCAGGAAACTGAGCACCCCACCCCCGCGGCGGGGGGTGGGAACACAGGCACCATAACAAACGCACGTGCGCCCAGCCCTGGGCTCCCCGAGCATTGCACACCCTTAGGAGCCGCCCTGCGGAACCGGCCATTGTCTCAGCTTCGGGGTAGAGAGCAGCGCGGGGGGCGCCCTTGCTGGAGGAGGTCGACAGAGACATTAAAAGGTACCACCTGGGCATCAGACCTAACTGCCAGACTTAAAAAGGGAAGAAAGAAATAAGAAAGCAGCTACGAAAAGATTATCGCAGATCCAATCTGTCCCCGGTGGTGGTGTATTACCTGATGTGATCAGGACAACCCTTCACTTCCACCTCACGGAGGTTTCTTAGGGATGGGGGTTGAATTAAGGGTCTACGGGTACCCCACCAAAAACAACAACAACAAAAATCAACAACAACAAAAAAACCCCAAACCACCTTGCCTGGTACACCGTTGTCCCTGCGCTCTGGTGGGAGGTCGTGAGCGCCTCCGTAGCCTGCCAGCAGAAAGAACGGTCCAATTTAAATAGCGCCCAGCGCGATCTTGGGTTTCATTTGCGCTATGCTTTGTAGGTCCCTGTGTCTAGCCTGCCCGGTGTCACTGGCCCCTTTTGTCGTTGTGCATTTTTACTAGCAAGGCCAGCTGAGGCCTCCTGTTCTCGGTGGGGGCGCTATTATTTTCAGTTCTATTAGTTTGAGAGGAATTCCGAGGTCCAGAAAGAGGCCTCTAGTTTGCTTTGCTTTTTTTTTTTTTTTCTTTTCTTCCATATGCTCAACTCAGCTTTGTGGATTTTGGTTCATCAGACCTGTTCAGGCAGCAGCAAGATGTTTGGGAGAATGAACTGGCTTTTTAGGCGATGGTGTTAGTGGAGTAAACCCCAAAGACGGTGGAGGTAGGAATGCAGGCACCACTGCTTAAGTGCGCTTGCTGAGCGATTGGGTTGTGGCTTCACCGTGGCTCGTACCGCTGGAGATTAACCGGTCCCTGGGGGAAAGTGGGGAGCCTCCAGCCCCACACCACATTTATTGAGAGTCTAGAGAGCAACCACTGAACCGACTTATTTTATAGATGGGAAATACGGAGTTCAGCAACTTGTCCATGTTTAAGCCGGAATCTGTGACAGAGACAGGACTTGAGTATGGGTCTCCCAACTCTCACACTGCACACTGCCAGGAGGACAACTAAAGGCGAAACCAGGGTTCTGTGGTTGGCTTAAAAAGCAGTGTGGCTTTAGGCAAAACAGAGTTAAACAAAGAAAGTAATTCAGATTGAAAGCTGCACCCTTCCATTATCCCTTTGAAGAGTTCTTTATTCATTTGAGAAAAAGATAGATTTAGTAATTCTTTACTCTTCTTCTGGCCTTTCATAAGTTTAGTTATTTTTCTCTCCTGGCTTTCCCCTCCCCTCAACTTGGAATAGGGCCAAGTGTGGAGACTTAGATGTTTTTGCCTCCCATGCCCGCGCCAGAAGGCCTTTGTTTGGGCATAACATGGGCTGTTGACATGGCCCTAATGGGAAGAAATTGTCTCTTAGCAGGCTACTCTTAAGCCACTTGTGGGAGAACAAAGCTTTGTTCTAATTGACTATTTAATTATTTTTTTTTTTAAAAAATTAGAGGTCCATGTAAGTAGCTACTTATTTTTGTATTTGGCAGAGGAAAAGTAGGAAAACAAAAATTAAACAAAACAAAACAAAAACACTTGGCGCCTGGGTTTCCTCAAAGTTAACATGCTGTTTTCCCCTGTCCTGCTTATCTCCTGGTTACACTGGTGTCTTTTCTTAAGGTTCCCAGTGTGTTTATTTTCATGGTGATTCCACTGGGCATAGGGAACTTCAGAAATCATCTGGTCAGATGATTTCCTGTTGTTTTTCAGGTGGGAAACCTGAGTCCCAGCAAGGAGAAATTACTTGCCCAAGGACATGCAGTAAGGTGTCTGCTTTTAGTGCCTCTTTTTGTGGAAGGGAAGCCGTGGCATCAGAGGAGTTTTTGTTGGTATGCCACAATAAAGTCAAAGTTATGATGGTTGTTGTTACAGCACCCTTTAAGTCAGATAATGAATTTCTTAAGGATTTCAATAGGTTTTGGTTATTTAAAAAAACCATAGATCCCAATGGTAGATTCAGTGAGGTTATTACTGGGGATCAGTTTTCTTTAGTGTTTACCAAATGGTTCCCTGTACTCTTGCCCTGTGCTCCCACACATTACTATTTACCAGAAGGGAGTTGCTTTGAGTATAATCACAGAACTGGGGGCAACAAAGAGTCAGAAAAGAGAAATCCTGCTTAGCTCTTTGTGTGGTTGAACTTCTTGGGCTCCAGTTTCCTTCTTTGTACAGCAGATGCCCCTTCTGCCAGGGTCTGCACAGTCTATTCCAGTGAAATGGAAGATGCTCAGGCCTTAGAGTTAGAGAAGCAGGTTCAAGCCATCTCTCCTCTCCTCTGCATTCCTTGAGAACCAGCAGGGATATTGTATGATGTGAGGGGAAGAACATGCTTGTGTGTTCTGGGGTTGCTGTGAGTATTAAGTCAGGTGACCCGTGCTTAGGACTGTTCAGACCTCTTGGCAGGCCTGGGTGCTTTTTAAGCGGTAGAGAATTATGGGGGGAAATAATTCCCCAGAGCGTAAGCCCTGTGTTCAAGGAGGCCCTACCTAGTCACAAAATGGTATGATTATTTGCCAAGCTGTAAAGGGGGACTTTGGGTTGTTGTGAAATGTGTGACTTTAAGGTAAATAAACTTAGTCAAAAAAACAAATCAAAACCCAAACCAAAACTTTCGGTTCCAAGTGAGTGAGACCAAAAGTCATTCCATTCATTCATTCATTCATTCTCTATTCACTGACAAGCATTCTCTATTCACTGGGGTGTCCTGTGCTCAGTCTGGAGTCAGAAAGAATATGACCATTCTCTGCCTGCCCCCACCCTTGCTCAGAGCACATTTGCATGTTTCCTTAGGAGCTGCCCTCAGAAAACGGATCTAATTTATTTCACTATTGACCTGGGGTGGGGGGGTACCCCTTTTCTTTATGTGTCAAACAAGAGCAGGAGGTAAAATGGGAGAGTGGAAGAGGGAAGGTTTCAAAGAGAATGTAGCTCTCCACAAATGTGTGTATGAGGTGGGATTAAAAAAATGACAGAAATGATTCATTAATGAAATTTGTAGTAATTTCCTGGAACATTAGAGTTTGAGAATTTGCTCAGACCTGGTGTCAGTGATTTGTTCACTCAGAGCCCGTCTGGGAAAAACAAAAACAGAAAGGTTTTTCTTGCTCGTCTGCATGTATGCTGCATATGTTCTGATTCCAATACATGTACTTCTCATGGGCTCATATGTAACAGTAACATAGTTTCACATCAAATTCTGGGGTGATTTTCTAAGCCATTTTAGAAAGGTCAGGTTAGCATTCAGAATTAATTTGGTGATTTAGGTTTTGTTTATCATTCTGATTATATGAATAAAGCATGTCCATTGAAGACAATTTGGAAAAGCAGAAAAAAGTAGAGAGAAACAGAAAAAAAAATCCATTGTTTGAAGGCAGTGACTGTACACTGTATGTGCAGTTATCTCTTGTCTCTTGCTTTTCTTGCTTAGCCTTCTCATGTATACACATCACAATCTATGTCTGCATCAAAGCTCTGCCTTTTCTTTCATCATGCATGTCAGCTGCTCAGCAGCTCTGGGGCCAGGTAGTTCCACGGGATGTGATCACTTCTGTGATGCTCTGTAGAGAAAGGAGCCTCCAGCTTCCCACCCCTGCCTCAAGCATTCAAACACCAGCCATTATTAAAAAATTAAATTTATCGGGGTGACACTGGTTAATAAGGTCATATAGGCTTTAAGTGTACATTTCTATGGTACATGATCAGTGTGTTGCATTGTGCGCCCACCACCCAAAGTCAGATCATCTTCTGTCTCCATGTTTTTGACCCCCTTTACTCTTTACTACCCCTCTACCCTCTTTGCTCTGCTAATCCTCTACTGTTGTCTGAGTCTATGAGGGTTTTTTTTTTGTTTATTTCTCCCGTTTACTCATTTGTAGCTTTCAGTTTTATATCTCACATCTGAGTGAAATCATATGGTTCTTAACTTTTTCCGTCTGACTTATTTCACTTAGCATGATATTCTCAAGGTCCATCCATGTTGTTGCAAATGGTAGTATTTCATCTTTTCTTATAGCTGAGTGGTATTCCATTGTATATATGGACCACATCTTTATCTAGTCCTCTACTGAAGGACACTTTGGTTGTTTTCATGTTTTGGCCACTGTGAATAATGCTGAAATGAACATAGGGGTGTATATATCTTTGCAAATAAATGTTTTCACATTTTTCAGGTAGATACCCAGAAGACAGATTGCTGGGTCCTATGGTAACTGTTCCTAATTTTTTTAGAAACTTCCATACTGTTTTCCATAGTGTCTGTGCCGTTTACATTCTCACCAGCAGTGAATAATGAGGGTTCCTTTTTCTCTCCAACCTCTCCAACACTTGCTATTACTTCTCTCTCTCTCTCTTTTTAACATATCCTCATGATTTTATTGGCACATAATAAAACAAAAAATGAAGCTTAGAACAGGATCACTTGGCCCTTTCTCTTCTTATCTCCTCCCAGTTCCAAATGCTAACATCGTTAGTAGCCAGCATTCTCTTAGATCTGCATTTGGGCTCAACACATTCAAGCCTCAACACAATCTTCTTTGTAGTTTTAGCCTGTTTTTGGAAAATTGGCTTGGTCTGCCCACCATAGCCACTCTGCTTCCCATCATAATGCCGCTTCCCCTGTGCGTACAGAGAATCCTTGCTCTTCTTGTACTGTTACTTTGTGGGGTTGATGCTTGTCACACTTCTTACAGAAAGTCTGGTGGGTTTTAGGAACGTTCACCATGTTTACGAGAGTGCTAATATCACCGCTAATAGCATGCTAACAGCACTGGAAAGCTTGTCTTGTTGTTAATGGCCATTCTCACAGGTGTGAGGTGGTGTCTCATTGCATTTTTGATATGCATGTCCCTAAGAGCTAGGGAAGTCGAGCATTTTTGCATACACCCATTGGCCATTTGTGTGTCTTCTTGGGAGAAGTGTTTCATCAGGTTCTCTGACCATTTTTTAATTGGATCGTTCATTTGTTTGGCAAACACCAGCCATTTTTATTTTTGAGGAAGTCTTTAAGGTGGAGGGGGAAGGGC